GGCCGGACGCCCCCGGCCTCGCGCCCTTCTCTCCCGCTGCGCGTCCCCCTCTGTCGAAGCAGACCCCGTTTCCGTTCCGTGACCGGCCTCTCCTTCGTGCTGCGACTTGCACAGACCCTCGTCTCCCTCCCCTGGGGCGGGTCCAGGCAGACCCTCTTGCTCTTACTCTCGGGCCTGGATAAACTTTCCCTCCCCCTCTGCCCGCGGCCAGAACGGGCCCCTTCCCTCCGCATCTCGGTCCCGGTTCTGGTCGTGGAAGGTCCCCTGCTGGCGTCTCCTCCCCGGCCCCTAGCCCGGAGCAGACCCCCTACCACTCCTCCTAAGGACCCCGCTCCCTGCACCAGGGATGCTCCCCCCCACCCCATTATCCTGGGCCTGGAATGGATCTCCCACACTCCGACACAGACCCTCCCGCCGTCCCCCAGGATCTGGAGGGGACGCCCCTCTCCCAATCCCCGCGTCCCGGACGGACCTCTCCTTTCCGGCCTCCGAGAGGACCCTCATGCCACAGGCCGGCCTCCCTTTCTGAACCAGGACTGATCCGCACCTCGGCCCAGCTCGCGTCCCCGTCCCTGTCCCGTCGTCCTCACGCCTCCTCTGGAATCCGGAGCAGTTCCTTGTGGCGCCGCGGGGTCGGGNCCGGGATCCTGGCGCGGGGTCCTGGGCGTACCCTTGGCGTCTGGGGGCTGCACGTTGGGAGCCGGTGCAGAGGGAGAGCCCCGGTGCTGGGGCCTTGGCTGGGGGCCACAGCCCGGGTGGGGTCACCGCGGCGATCAAGGGTGGATGTGGGGCCAGCCGCTGCGTCTAGGAGTCTTGGACATCCGAGGCCGCTGCGTCGTCGACTGACCCAGCACCGACCCTTCCTTCCCCGCGGCTGACCACTTTTCTTGGTCCGGCGTCCCAGCCCCTCCCCTACCATGGCTGATCTCTCGGTGGGGGTGCCTCCTGTGCGCCCATTTTGGGGAGACAGCGGATTGGTTTGGAAGACCGGTATCCGGGGTTTGGGGGCGAGCTCAGGGACCCCAAGGGCTTGTGCTTCATGGCCTTTGAGGTGGGGACCCGTTCTAATGTGTTTGGGGAGTGCTCGGTTGAGGGCTTACAGTGCTTGGGGTAGCCGCCTGCCTGGCATTGGCCTGGCACAGGCCACGCTCCCTGCTCCCCGACCTCCCTGTCAGGTAGCAGCTACTTACTGGGGGTTCTCACCATCCTGGTGCTTCAGGGCGCAGGGCGTGGTTTGGGCCTCGCTGCCTTGGCCACACCTTCTGCGGCCAGCCCTCGCCAGGATGCAGTCCCTCCACGGCTGTGCTCAATCCAGCTGCCTCGATGTGGGTCTGCCAGGGGAGGATGGTGGCCTCTGCACAGGATATCTGTGCAAGGAGAGGCTTTTCGTTTGAGTCACTTTTTGTCACCAGTTAAGGAAAAACCAAGTCCACTTGTGAAAAGGTCATTTTGGGGGTGGGCAGCAGCATTATTTTTCCAAAGACAAATGGCAGGGGTCAGCCTGGGAGATGTATGGTAGATCAAGTAACATTCTGGTATCTCTGGAAACAGGGCCTCTGGGGCCTCCTGGAGGGATGTCCTTTCCAGACGCTGCTATGGAAGAGGCTGTGTTTCCAGGATCACCCTCCTTGTACAGTATTGTTGGAAGGGAAGGAAAGTAAACTGTAAACTCTCTGTTACAGCAGTAGTTGAATAATGTCAGTGGCCTTGCCTGTTTCAGTGTAGGGAAAATACTTTAAAAGTGGAGAATGACACTACCCTTGAGGTCGTGCCCCAGAATGAAGAATCGTGTTCCTAAGTTTCGCTCTTCAGCTGGCGACTGCCCTTCCAGGCAGGCTCCAGGGGATGACCAGGGCAAAGTGGAGAGCTGGTGAATCCACTGAGTGCTGGTGATTCAGCCCAAAGCTGTGTGCTGTAGAAGGGAGGTAATAAGATTTCACCCAGACCTCTCTTTTTCGTCACTGCCATCTCGTCATCCTGTCTGATGTTTGTCCCTGACCCCTGGACTTGGAAACATCTCTGTTTCTGACCATGGCGTTTGCTGGGAGCTGGTGCCCTGCGGTCGGTCTGAACTCAGGCCCTCTCCCATTTGAGATCTGTTTTTGGAGTTAAATATCTTGATTGTTTGAGGGGTTGGTGTACGGTATGTCACCCCCATAGGTTTTCATTTTTCAAACCAAAGCTCAAGTTTTTGCCTTGGATTATGAATCGAATTTTGTTTCTCCTCCCTGTCTAAGTTAACACATTTTGGCACAAGTAAGCACAGAGTCAGTCCTGGGAAGGTTCCGGGCTGAAGAGTCGAAGTGTTAAATGTTAACTGTGGGAGGATGTGTCTGGGGGAGATTGTTGCCGGCAGTTAGGATTTTTTTTTTTTTTTCACTTAACGGCATTTTTTACTTTATACCTGCTTTGGTTTAAAACCGAACACCAAGCTTCTTGTTCATTACAATGTGGTGGAAAATATTCTGAAATAAAGATATTATCCATTGTTCCTATAGTTCTAAAAAGCAATTGGAAATGCTTAAAAATATTCTTATATGACACATACATTTTTATATTTGAATCATTAATAACTACTTATGTTGAGTATTAAAAATACCTGATGAATAATGCAATACTTCAACATTAAATTTACTTTTGCCGATTGTTATATTCACATTCACTTTCTTTAAATCAGCCTTTTAGACACCAGTATGATTTCTCTTGATGTAAAAATATTTAGGCTTTGTAAGTATTATCCTGACTTTGAACACTGAGTAGAAAAGACTGCTTTATTGATGTTGGTAAAATAATTTTTTAGGTCTTTCCAAGAAAGCGGTGATGCTTTAAAAAGGGGACACATTTTGGCATGTTGGTATCTTCATTTGAAACAGAAGTGTCAGTACTGTGTTTCTTGCTTGGTTATGACTTTCTATAGATTGATCTGGATGGAGATCCCTGGTCACCAGGAAGGGAGAAATCTTGGCATGGGGGACAGGGGCCCTGGGCCGGGACCTGGACCTGGCCGGGATTTCTTGGCCATCATCAAAGAGCACATTAATGATCAGCCAGTACGAATTTGTGTTTTTTTATCTTGGAGGAGGAATTGATCCATGGGTGGGTGGTGCTGGCCTGTGGACAGGGTTGGTTCCCGTGATTACCACGCTCAGCCATGCCCCCCACAGAGCTCTCTTGTCTGCCCCCCCCCCAAACCAGTTCCAGGGTGGGGGCTATTAACCTTCCTCATCTGACCTTCTTTGTAGGGGAGCATTCCTTATAAATATGCTTTATTGAGTGATGTTTCGATTAGAAATGAAATGACTTTCACTCAGAGAAGCCTGAGTGACTTGGGTGTGTGTGCTTTTTAAAAGAAGAGCCCTTAGAGCTTTGTAAAGTCTGCCTGGGTGCAGACCCCAATGGTGTGTTTTGTGGAAACCTGCCAGTGCTAAGCAGTACTAAGCATGGGACTTCCTGCTCCTTGGCTGTTGAGTTAACTCAGCCTCAGTCAGCTGAAGGGTCTAGATCCACACCCAGGGTCCTTCCTGGTTTCCAGTGTCCCAGCCCCCCTGGCCATGGGTGCTTGTGTGGAGCTGCCTGTTGGTGGCTGGCCCTTTATACCTTGACCACATGGCCGAGGTGTGGGAGGAGATCTT